AAATGCAGGCCACTAGTAAGATCATGTGTTATTTACCATAGAAGTATCGGTTTCCAGTGCATCATCCTTGATATGCTAACTGTAAAACTTTTTATTGCTTTTACTTTGTGGAGTAAATACACTGTGCAACTAGTAGATCTGTAATAGCATTGTTTAAAAAAAAAAAAGGTTGTTTTTGTGTTTTGGTTAAAAAGAAGTAAGCAGTCCAGTTTCCCAAGAAGGGGAGAATTCTGGTATTTCTTTTCTCCTAATTTCTGAGTGCAGTTCTGGGGCTTCCAATTTCTTTTGATAGGAACTGGGGTTTGCACAATAAAAGGAACATTTCTGATTCTGAATGCATGTAGTGTAAATCAGAGAATCAGAGATTGATTTCTGATTCTGAATGCATGTAGTGTAAGTCAGAGAATCAGAGATTGACCTGCATTGGAAGGGACCTTAATGATCATCTAGTTCCAACACCCCTGCCATGGGCAGGAACACCTTCCACTAGCCCAGGTTGCTCAGAGCCCCATCCACCCTGCCCTTTTACCACTTCCAGGGATGGAGCAGCCACAGCTTCTCTGGGCAGCCTGTGCCACTGCCTCACCACTCTCCCAGGGAAGAATTTTTTTTCCTAGCATCCAATCTAAACATATGCTCTGATTCAGTTTGAAGCCATTCCCCCTTGTCCTCTCACTCCAGGCCCTTTTAAATAGTCTCTCTCCATCTTTCTTGTAGGCTCCTTCAGGTACTGGAAGGCTGCAATTAAGTCACCCCAGAGCCTTCTCTTCTCCAGGCTGAAGAATCCCAACTCTCAGCCTTTCCTCATAGCAGAGGTTCTCCATCCCTCTAATCACCTTGGTGTCCCTCCTCTGGACTCGCAACAGGAAGGACATCAACTTTTTGGAGTGAGTGCAGAGGAGGCCATCAGGATGATTAGAGGGATGGAGCACCTCTCCTCAGAGAAAAGGCTAGGGGAATTGGGTGTAAGGCCCTTTTGCAGCATCTTGCAGATCGGACAGACTTTATTGCCTGTCTTGAATTTTTCTATCCAGATTGTTTAAGTCTGAAAGAAAATACCTACCAAAACAGCTTAGTAGTTCTTAAGTGGTTAGAAGAAATCAACATGGGTTTTTTTTGCATTGAAAATTTCTTCACACCTTTTCTTTGAAACTTAGCAGTTGGGTTTTTTGGTCAGAAATGTGCTTTCTTGCCATCCTGGTGAAAATCTTCCCAAATCCGACTGAGCCTACAT